CCTGACTGCCCCCCTCAGAACCCCCCACCCATCCAACCCCCCCCGCTCTTTGTTCCCTGACCGCCCCTCCCCGGGACCCCCGACCCCTAACCGCCCCCCGGGACCCCACCCCCTATCCAACCCCCCCTGCTCCCTGTCCCCTGACTGCCCTGAGCCTTATCCACATCCCCGTCCCCTGACAGGCCCCCCGGGACTCCCACGCCTATCCAACCGCCCCGTTCCCCGTCCCCTGACTGCCCCGACCCCTATCCACACGCCCACCCCCAACCACGCCCCGGGACCCCACCACTTATCCAACCCCCCCCCACTCCCTGTCCCCTGACTTCCCCCTGGGACCCCCTGCCCCTTATCCAACCCCCCCCCCCCCACTCCCCACCCCCTTACCATCCTGCTCAGAGCCCCAGGACTGGCAGCCGTGCCACCCGACCAGAGCCAGCCATGCCACCGCACAGGGACAGGCCCGCGGCTCTCGCAGCCGCATTGCCAGTCAGGAGCTCACAGCCCCGCCGCCCAGAGCGCTGGTGACGCGGCGAGCTGAGGATGCGGGGGAGGAGGGACAGCAAGGGAGGGGCCGGGGGTGAGCCTCCCCGGCCAGGAGCTCAGGGGCTGGGCAGGACGGTCCCGCAGGCCAGATGTGGCCCGTGGGCCATAGTTTGCCCACCTCTGGTCTAAATGCAATGCCCTCTAGCAGGAGATGCTTTGCACAGCTGAGCTGACAAAGCAGAAATTTGGACTAGTTCCTCTATAGCAGAGGTCCCCAAACCGTGGAGCATGCCCCCCCCCCCGGAGGGCACAGAGGAACATTCGGCGGGGCGCAGCTGGGGCCTGGGCCAGACCCCATGGGGGGTGGGGAGGAAGCACCACCTAGCTCCTCTCCTGACCCTGGGCTCTTCTCCCTGCCCCGCACCTGAACCCCGGGGGTGGGGGAGGGGCAGGGGTACAGGGATAAGGGGGGCCATGACCCTGAAAAGTTTGGGGACCACAGCTCTACAGGCAGAAGGGTGGGTTTCCTGACACAAGTTTTCACAGCTGAGAGGCATAAAGAAGATGAGCATGTGAGGGTTCAAACAGAGAGTCAAACAGCCACCTGAATCACCAGCCATTGCTCAGGCTGGCTCCATGGTGTTGATAAAGTCTTCTATTGAAAATCAATGGGAGTTCAGCACCGAACTCACTTAATCACTGTAGTAAATCCCGCTAGAGGCCTGGCTGCCCCTTAAGGCACCTAACTACCTTTGGGAATCTGCTCCTCAGGAGCTTAAGTCTCATGGAAAGTCAGTGGGATGGAGGTGCCTACGTTACTTTTGAACATGGGACTTAAGCTACAAAGTTCACCCAGGTGCTTTTGAGCCCCATGTCTATTGGATGCCGCGTTTCGAAGAGTCAAAGAACTGCACAAGAGCCAGGTATTAAGCATGGTCACAATCCCCCGCCCCTGTTAATGCTGCCAGCTGCCAGTTTTGTGGCATGCCTCTGCCCAAAGCACCGGCCCCAATTTGACCCAGAGTGGGGGATCCGTTCTAAAGATTAACTTGTAGGAGTTTTGCAGTTACCAGGGCCGATCTTGCAGGGGTCTATAAAGCACAGAAGCAGGAGCATTGTGGATTTGGTACCCTCCCCCAACACACACACACACAACAGTGCAAGGAGTCCATGTGAAACTTCAGCTTGCACAGAATTCCCACTCACTGCAAGCATACCTGATCCCCAGGGAGGGGCAGCAGATTTGTATAATTTTTGGTGGTGCCCAGAACGGGTTCAAGTCCCCACCCCCACACCTGCCCTAAGGCTCTGGGAGCAGGTTTGGGTGTGGGAGGGGTGTGGGGCTATGGGAGTGAGTTTGGGTGCTGGGTGCGGGCTCTGGGCTGGGGTGCAGGGAGGGGGTGCGGGCTCTGGGAGGGGCTTTGGGGTGCAGGATCTGGGATGGAGTTTGGGGGCAGGAGGGGGGCGTTGGCTCTGGGAGGGAGTTTGGGTGTGGGGTGCAGGCTCTGGGCAGGGGGTTGGGGTGTAGGAGCGAGTTTGGGGTGCAGACTCTGGGAGGAAGTTTGGATGCGGAAGGGGGTTTGGGGTGCAGACTGTTGGAGGGAGTTTAGGTGCAGGAGGGGGTGAGGGGTGCAGGCTCTGGGAGGGAGTTTGAGTGTGAGGTTTGGGCTCTGGGCTGGGGCAGAGGGCTGGAGTGCGGGGGGAGGGGGTTCAGCACTTACCTCGGGCGGCTCTTGAAAGTGACCAGCACCCCCCTCTGGCAGCGGCTCCAAGGCAGGGGGCCGGGGGTCTCCACGCGCCACCACCCACAGGCACCGCCCCCGCAGCTCCCATTGGCTGCAGTTCCAAAGGCAGGGTCGGCGCTTCGGGCTGGGGCAGCATGTGGAGACACACCTCCCAGGGGCCGCAGGGACATGCCGGCCGCTTCTGGGAGTGGCGTGCTGCGCCGAGCAACGGTGGGCAGGAAGTCACTTTAGCCTCGCTGCACTGTCGGTAGTGGTGGCGGGGGCCACTGGGTCCTTTTAAAGCCTGCACCCCTCACCCCCTCCTGCACCTAAACTCCCTCCAACAGTCTGCACCCCAAACCCCCTTCCGCACCCAAACTTCCTCCCAGAGTCTGAACCCCAAACCCGCTCCTACACCCCAACCCCCTGCCCAGAGCCTGCACCCCAAACCCCCTTCAGCACCCAAACTTCCTCCCAGAGTCTGAACCCCAAACCCGCTCCTACACCCCAACCCCCTGCCCAGAGCCTGCACCCCAAACCCTCTTCCGCACCCAAACTTCCTCCCAGAGTCTGAACCCCAAACCCGCTCCTACACCCCAACCCCCTGCCCAGAGCCTGCGCCCGCACCCCCTCCTGCACCCCAACCCCCAGCCCAGAGCCCATACCCAGCGACTTGTGGAGACCCCCGGCCCCCTGCCTAGGAGCCACTGCCAGAGGGGGGTGCGAGACACTCTGTGGGAGGTGTTTAGGGGCTGCAGGTGGGGCCACGGGAGAGACCTGGCCCCTAACATTGGTGGAGCCGGGGCCCTGTGCTCTGAATATCCCTGGAGCACGGGCACCACGGGCCCATACAACTTGCTGCTCCTGTCCCCAGGAAACCCATAGAGAGACATGGGGTAGAAAAGATGGTTTTGACCACGGACAATTTCTATTATTCCATGTCCCAAAGCCATCTCTTATGCAGCATCAATTTTGCTACTTTGTCTCCTGCACGCTAGCACAAATAAGTGTGGATACGCATCTGGGGCGGCAGATTCTTAACGGGTATAAATCAGCGTAGCGCCATTAATTCCAGAGAAGCTATGCTGATTTATGCCAGCTGACGATCTCTAGCCCATAGCTGTTCACTTGGCAGGAAGTCCGGGGTTCTGAGGCTTAAGAGATGAGCTGTGCAAATAACGGACTTTTATCGGGCAGTTCCGTAAAAAAATATTAAAATTGCTTTGGCTGGAACCAAGAATGATCATTTTTTGGGACATTTTTGGCAAATTAAACCCTGGGGGGAAGCAAATCATTTCAAAACCAAAACATTTTAGCTCTATATGTTTCATTTCCGTTTTGACCCTTTGTAAACATTTTTGATTTTTAGCCAATAAACTTTTGAAGTGACAAGCCATTTGGGACCAAAAACGTCAGCAGGTTTTGTTTCCAAAATGGCAAAAGGAAACATTTTTATTTTTACCAAAACAGTTTGGTGAAACCAACACAAATTTGCAAAATGTTTCAGTGTCACCAAATCGTCATTTTTCACCGGGAAAAAAATATAGGACAATTTTTTCCCAGCTGTAGTTAACAATCTATTAACAATTTTTCGACGCAACAAATCCTGCATCTTGGCAGGGCGTTAGACGAGATGACCCTGGCGAGCCCTTCTGATCCTATGATTCTTTATTGTCATCCATCTTCATATGTTTTTAGTGGATATGGAAGCCAAAAATAATACCTGCAAAGTCCAATGGAAGTTCGGCAAAGACTGAGTCACCTAGTACATCAAGGGTGTGAGCCTAATTCTCAGTTACCGCAGTCCCGCAACAAAAGATGAACCCAACCAGGAGTTTAAGGCAAGAGCCTAGTTTAAAAACTCAGCCGTGTGACGTTAATGACACAATGCAGTTTATTGGTGATGCACAGAGTGAAAAGCAGCCGGTCCTTTAACAAGAATGAGGCATTTTATGAACATCACACAGGAGCGGGCCCGCGGAAAGGAAATAGGAGGGACACGTTGACTCAGGGCCTCTATTAACGTTCACGATGCTAAATGGGTGGGATTCATGCCCTCTGCGGAAAGCCAGGACAATTCACCGTATTCCTTGTCCTGACCAAGCCCTGAAACACATATGAGCTGATGCAGTGAAATTCAGGAGAAAGTGGCGGAGTGGAAAAACCCAGGGTTACTTCATGAGTTTGGAAATAACCTTGGACATCCACAGCAACCAGAACGCTGAAAACGTAGGGCCTGCCTCTGATTTCACTTACACTGGTGTAAGTCAGGAGTTCGTCAACGGGCCTGATTCTCTGCTATCCTGCGCAGTTATTTATGGGGAGTCTCACACACACACATTGCACCACGGCAGGGCAACGGAGAATCGGACTTGATGGAATTACACCAGTGCAGGACAAACATAAGGGAGAGGAGAATCAGGCCCCCGGGCACTACACTGGACTAAAATTGGTGCAATTGACTACAGAGCCAAGTCCTGAATGAGGCAAAGCTATAGGAAAGTATATCCGCGCTGCTACAGTTCTCTCAGTTTCCCAATGAGCAATGGGTCAGATGCCATCTCTACTCTCTCAGTTACTCCCATTCAGACCTATTGACTTCAGTGCAACTGAGGGCAAAATTTTGTCCCAAGATGAGGGGTTTTTTCCCCATGAATGTTGAAAGGTGGGGTGGGAATTCCCGTCGCCAAGCAGCAAAAACCGGGGTTAATTCAAAGGTCCCTGAGTTGAGTTTTTACGCTCTATCTAATTAATTTTTTGCTTGATGAAGAGGATGTCGAGATATATTTTACGCTAGAGCTGCTTCCCCCTCCCGAAGTGACCCCCCCCTCCATAGCCAAAACCGCTTCCTCCTAAACCAATCCCACTTCCGCCAACACTGATCCCACTTTTGCCACCAATTCCAAAACCACTCCCACTGCCAATTCCAAGGCCGAAACTGCCTCCTCCACTACCAAGACTGAGGCCACTTCCACAACCTCCACCTCCTCCACCAAGGACATATCTGCTTCCAACTCCGCCACCGCTGCCAGCTACGCTCGTGGTGCTGTTGACCACAGCTGCAAGAAAAAGATCCCTCTGGTTATTCAGAAAGCAGCTTGTGATTTCCAAAGAGAGACAAATTCTGGTGTTACATCTAACTAAGCTGGCTGGAAATTTTCTACCACTGTTTTATGAAGGAAATTTGGGGTTTTGACCAAATGAAATTTTTCCTTGGAAAATTGCAATTTTTCTTTGAAAAACCAAATGCCTGAAAACCTAAGTATTGCAATTCAGAAATGCTAATGAAGTGCCTCATGGGAGTTGTAATTCGGACATGTGCCTCATGTCCCCATTCCCCTCTATGGGCCAAGCTCCACAGCTGGGCAACCGTTCCCATAATGCATCATGGCCAAGGACATAATGCACAGCCTCTGTTCACCAAGAGGGGAGACCATGGTGCATCATGGGAAATGTAGTCTGACTAGGGACCCCCGCCTATACAAGAGAGTGGATGTATGAGACACCCAAACTACAACTCCCCGAGGCACTGTGGTGGCATTTCTGAATTGAATTTTTTCAGGTTTTGGCTGAAATATTTTGTTTTTTGCTATTTTGGCCAAATATCAAAAATACGCACACTGCTTCATTTTCAGACCAGCTCTAATTCTGACAAATGAAAGTGAATCCTTGAGATACTTACAGATGCTCACAGGATCAGCATATTCTCCAGACATCCTGTCGGGGAAAGAAAAGTAATTAATGTAAATCACCCCATAAATCACTATAATACAATTACTAAACTTTGAAATATAGAGGGCGTAAATGCTTCCCAAAAGGACAAGGGGTCTGATTCTCATTCACACTAATTATGACAAAATTTGCAAAAGATCTCAGGGGCAGATTTTCAAGGGCTCTGCACCCAAAATTTTCATACGAACCCAACATCTCATGATCAGTGGAACAAGAATCAAAGGGCCAACGTTCCCCGCCTGGACTTTTATTGGGAAGACACCAGGGGAACAGAGAATGTGGGGAGTTAGTCTGGAAGCAACCCAGCCTCATGGGCAGAAACTTTGTTGATTTATTCCAGCTGAGGATCCGGCCCCATAATTACCACACACTATTTGTGTATTGCATCTACCTGCATTCTTCTCCCTCCAGCAGTTTCCTGTAGGTGGCAATCTCAATATCCAGGGCCAGCTTGACGTTCATCAGCTCCTGATAATCACGCAGCAAACGAGCCAGTTCATCCTTGGTGGTCTGAAGGGCGTTCTGAAGATCAGCAAGCTTACCCTGGGCATCTTTGAGGGCCAGCTCCCCGCGTTGCTCAGCATCGGCAATGGCCGTTTGCAGCCCTGCAATCTGTAAGGGACAAATCATGAGATTCTAGTACTGGGAATTGTGATAAGGCTCATTCATGTCTGCGGAATGAGTCTGGAGATGATACTTATGCTGACTCACCCTACCCTTTGTTTGGATTTGGAGTTGTTTCTTTTATAAGCTTGCTTAAGTGATATTTTGAAGGTTCCTCTGTGGGTGATGTTTTGACCATAGGATGTGCCTAAATTGGGCCACAATGGCTATAAAATATGTGCTGCCAAGGGGCAGTCAGAGAAAAACAGGAGAAAGTCCATGGTATTGAGTAAAGAGGATAGTAACCTGTGTACGTGTGCATGATCAGCGTGTGATCAGTGGTAACGAACCACCTGGAAAAGAGCAATAATCAAATGAAAACAGTGTGGGCGGCAAAAGTCCTGCAAACAGAAGCTTGCACAGGCATCCTGCATGTGTTGCATAAAACATGTAATACTGTACTGGATGGTGATGGAAAGAGAACTGATGGATTTGTAATTTGGATGTGTCTAAAATGTGGTAGACTGTAAGGGGTAGTCGGAGGTACATAGAAGAAATCCAGCAGGACCCCCTACGCCACAAGAGAAGGCAACTGGCCATTGTCTTTTTCCTGTATATCTGTCATTCGTCGCTTTAGTAGTAATTGAAATCACAAGGCATGCTTTTGCGTCAAGTCAAGGTTTGAATTAATAAACCTAAGAGTATGTGCCGCTGTAGCACTTCAGAGCCGAAGCAACCTATGCTACCGTGAGGGGTTCTCCTGTCGCTGTAGTTAATCCGCCTCTCTGAGAGGCGGTAACTAGGGCGATGAAAGAATTCTTCCGTCAATCCAGTGCTGTCTACACTAGTGGTTAGGTCAGAATAGCTATGTCTCTCAAGGGGTTGGATTTTTCACACCTCCGGAGAGATGTAATTATACCGATGTAAAATCCTAGTGTAGATCAGGCCTGAGTGTCCAGCAGCCAGTGTCACCCAAAGGGCAAGCTATGTAGTTCGTGGATTTCTAGCCCCTTGGATTTCTTTCTCTCTTTGCAAGATAGAAGGAAGAACATGGGCACTCAACTCTTAAACCATTTTCGTCCCTGATTTCTCAGCCTTCTATGAAATATCTCTAAGGTCCTGACAGAGAAACACCTGCAAACAGAAGGCTTACGACTGGGAGTAGTTCCATTGAAATTCTTAGGGCAGGTCTACACTATGGAGTTAAGTCGACCTAAGTTACGCAACTCCAGCTATGTGAATAATTGTGGTGTCTATATCGCGGTGTCTACATCGCGTTGGGTCGACTGGAGAAACTCTCCCGTCAACTTACTTTACGCTTCCTGTTCCAGTGGAGTACTGGAGTCGATGGGAGAGCAATCTGTGGTCGATTTCGCAGGTCTTCACTAGACCTGCTAAATCGACCCCCAGTGGATTGATTGCCGCAGCGTTGATCCATGGTAAGTGTAGACATACCCTTAGGGTAGAAAGTACTATGGATAAAATTCTCAAAAGTATCTGATTTAGTAGCCTAAGTCCCATTTTCAAAAGGAATGTAGGCCCAGATCCAAAAAGGTACATACACTCCTAACTTCCAGTTTCAATAAGGGTTAGGCGCCTGGGCTCATTTGATAATGCCTCTTTAAGTGCCTAAGCCACTTTTGAAAATGAGATTTAAATTTCTAACTTACTTAGACACTTCGGAAATTTTTGCCTTTAGGTGCTTTTGACAGGTTTACCCTACATTCCTTACTGTTGTAAGGGTCAGATCCTGCATATATAACTGACTGAATTAAGCAGTTTCCAGGAGTTCTGATATTTATTATTGGTTTTAATGGTGACATACCAATCCGGGTCATGGAGGAGAGCATGTTTTATTCCATACCAAATGACATTCCTTTCAGAATGCCAGACAGCACTGTTTGAGATACCTGTGACTATTCCAAGATGCCTTGAAATGTCAGAATAGTTTTGCACTTAAATATAATTGGCCATATCCTCAGCTGGTATAAATCACTGCAGCTCGATTGATTTCAATGAGTCAAAAAAATCACAGAAATATAGGGCTGGAAGAAACCTTAAGAGGTCATCTAGTCCAGCCCTCTGCACTGAGGCAGGACCCAAGTATACCTAGCTACATGAGGATTTGGCCTAGAGAGCTTAAACAGAATCCTTTGACTTAGCAGCTCCTTACATACCAGAAATCCAGTATTTCTAACCCCAACCATTTAAAAATCCACAAAATCATAAGACTGGCTTTAAAATCATACGTTTTTGTGTGTGTCCAGGTTTTTGAACCTTTATGACACGATGGAGACTCATTTCCAAGCTTTACTCTGCAACCATGAGAGCTAGAAACTTAATTAAAAAACAAAATAAGTAAATAAATAAATATAAGTTGAGATTCTCAACAAATAATTAGACTTAAAGAGCCGGGGCTTTAAGAAAAACACCAGCTATCACAAGAGTTGGCAACACAGAGAGTAGGTATCTCTCACAAGGTCACAGAGCTCATTAAAATAGTATGTAATAAACACCATAAATCATGTCAATTCCATATTAAGATCTTTCCCACCTGTTTTTTCACACTATCTAATTCAGCTTTCAGCCTCTGGATCACCCGACTCACTTCAGAGATCTCATTCCTGGTGACCTTCAGGTCTTCACCATGTGTCGTGGCTGTGACCTGAAGCTCTTGATACTGAAAGACACAAGCCATAAGGTCATTAGAAAAGATTTTCATAACTGGAGTTGAAGACATGTTTCAAATTTCCAATTTCCCAATTTCAAATTGGGAAAAAATTGGATGCAATTTTCCCTCCTTTTTTCTACCACTTGGATGATTTTTTTTACGCTGTTGAAAATTATCCTAATTTTAACATTTTTCAAAAAAAATTCATATTTTAAATAAATAAATAAATAAATTGGAGGAGGAACTAGATCGGGAGATGGAAAAAACTGCTGTCCAACCAGCTGTCAGCATAATATCAAAGGAAATGTTTACCAATGCGTGTGAGATATTCAGATCATAGAGTCATAGATTCTACAGCCAGTAGGGACCACTGTGATCATCTAGTCTGACCTCTTCTATAGCACAGGTCACAGAACTTCCCCCAAATAATTCCTAGAGCAGATCTTTCAGAAAAACATGCAATCTTGATTTTAAAATGGTCAGTGATGGAGAATCCACCACGACTCTGGGTAAATTGTATCAATAGTTAATTACACTCACCATTAAAAATTTACACCTTTACATTTACACATTTACATTTAGCCACATTAAAACACATGTGTTTGCTTGCGCTCAGTTTACCAAGCCATCTGAATCAGTGACCTCTCCTCTTCATTATTTACCACTCTGCCAGTTTGTGTCATCTGCAAACTTTATCAGTGATCATTGAAAGTTTTGAAAATTTTATCCTCTGTCTTTATTACCATTGGGCAGTGGATGGAAGCTTCATTTCATGAAAGATTTGAGGTTTCAAAATTTGTAATTCTCCGTGAAGGCAAATTCAAAAAAAATATTGTTTGGGGATGATTGAAACATTTGTTTTTGAACAATCCAAACATTTCATTTTGATTTCCAACTGTTTCTTTTGTAATATATTATCTCATTTTAAAAATTGAAATGAAAAGCCCTTTCTCCAGGAAAAAATAATTGAAATGTTTCATTCTGAACATACTCAAACTTTTTTCCCCTCGGTTTTCTTCCGAAACAAAATTCGGGTGAACTTGACCTGATTTTGTGAAGTGTTTTGATTTTGGCTGGATGGCTTAGTCCAAAGCACTATGGCTCCATCAGAATTTCTCCAGCCAGTCTTTAAGTTTGTTTCATAATGCATTGAGCACACTTTTAGGCCCACGTGAACAAATACTTTAATAACAGTTACTAAGCAGTGATATGACCAACATTAGAAAATCCATATGGGTCCCCTCACTTATCCATAGGTATCATGTAAGGATATTCCAAGGGAATCATATTTTGACCCCAGAAAATGAGAGCACAACTGTGGAAGTTGAGGCTGATGGGATTAGGATGGCTTGATATGCCGAGGAGCACCATGGGTAACCTCCCCTGGAAAACCTGACTTGTGGTCACAGTGTACTAGACTGACAGAGCTATTGTCATTGAGAACATAAGAGACTGGGCTGAGAACTTGGTTCTATTCCCATCTCTACCACTGCCTTGCTGTGGGACCTTGGGCAAGGCATTTGGCCTATCCGTGCCTCAGTTTCCCCATCTATTATAAAGCCCTATGCAATGTATGGATGAAAAGCTATGGATAAGAGCTAGCTGGTGCTACACCAGTTCCAACTGGGTCTTGCCAGAGCCTCTTAGATTTACAGAGTCACAGAGTTTAAGACCAGAAAGGACCACAAAATCATATAGCCTTACCGCCTGTATATCACAGGCCACCAGCCACACCCAACATTCATTAAACAACTGAAATTAGACCAAGGTATTGCAGCCCTCAGGAGACTAAACTCTTAAAGGTACAGTTCCCTATGCTAGGCACTATTATTATTTAAGAAGGTGAGGACGGATCATTTTGTGGTTAAATTAATCAGTAGAACTGGGTTCTATGCCTAGCGCTGTCACTGATCTCCTGGTTGACTTTGGGCAGGTCACTTTCCCACTCCGTTTCCCCATCTCTGAAGTGGTGATAAGAAGCCGGCATTCTTTTGCCAAGTGCTTTGAGTGCTATGGCTTCAAAGCACTAGGTCACAGCGACCTCTGAGGAGAATTCTCAGTCTACTCTTATACGCTCCTTAGCGGCATGATGACTCACCCTACTTTGGTACCAAGCCTCCGCCTCAGCCCGGCTCCTGTTAGCAATGTCTTCATACTGAGCTTTGACCTCGGCAATGATGCTGTTCAGGTCCAAATCTCGGTTGTTGTCCATTTGCAGGATGACGTTGGTGTCTCTGATCTGTCCTTGCACCTGAGCTAGTTCCTGTAGGTAACACAACACTGGACATAGTATTCCACTCATGACCTGAATCATTCCAGGAGTTGCATCATGCAGAGAAAAATGTGACAGGTCTTTCGATTACAACATTGTCATTGGGGAAAGAGCAATGTGGTCCCATGGGAAGGAGCCTCTGAATAGGAGCCTTACCGCTTCATAGACAGCTCGCAGGAAGTTTATCTCATCAATGAGGGAATCCACCTTTGCTTGAAGCTCCACTTTTTTCATGTAGGCAGCATCCACTTCCTAAAAAAACACGCCAAATGTTGGGACAATGCTACCAAGGACAAGAGCTATTGGGTATGATTCTGATCCTGTTTATACTCAGGGTTTGTCTTCACTGCAAAAGTTATCGCGAGTTACTCCACTCGAATTACAAGCTCCAGCCACACTGGAAACAACACTGAACCAACCCAGAGCTGTAGCCTGTAGCTGAGTCCCCTGCATTACTAGCTTGAGCATTGACAACACTTTAGCCTCAAACCCCTCCTCCCACTGACGGGCCACATAGGTCAAGTTGAAAACGCTGCTCAACTTGAGCGAGAGATTTGTGTGTGTGGACAGGAATTGGGTTGGGGCCACACTCAAGACATACCTAGGGCTAACACTGCAGTGAAGGCATAACCTAAAGCTGCTTTACATCAGTCTGGCCCGCCAAAGCAGTCTGGCCCGCCAAAGCAGTGTAAAGGGGCCTTTGTGCAAATGGCCCAGGCGTGGGAGTTATATTACCTTCGAGTTTGGCACCAAAACACCTTGGAGGATCTGGGTCTTAGTTACTGCAGATTCAAGCTGATGTAACTGAGAGCTGAATTTGGCCTTTTAAATGTTTTGGCTGCATTTTCTAAGGTTCTGTTTATAAATGGTTAACGGATGTTATAAGCGTGTTACAGACATGTATTGGTGGCGGTTATCACCAGTTTGGTTGATGGTGTTATAAGCAACCTACTGGTCTGTTGGACTCCATAACAAATGACAATAATCTATTTTTTTTAAACTATTAACTAATACATGTTTTAAAAGAGACCTTAATATAAAGCATGGCCAATTTTTCTTTGTCATTTCTTTCAAGAAAAATACACCTGTCCCCCCAGAAATGACAATGCAATAAGTAAGACACTTAAATTAATGCAACAACTGTGACTCTCAATACAGGATGGATTTGTCCTGGATTTTAACAGAAATTATAATACATAGGAATTTTTCTTTGCAGTATTATCATTTTGTTTCTTGTTCAGTGTCTACAGTTCTAGACTTCTGCAACAGCCTGCTGCCTTATCCTCAGATAGCTACAGAGTAATGAGAGAGAGAGAGAGAGAGAGAGAGAGCGCGCGATGCATTGCCCACCTTTTTGAGCACCACAAATTCATTTTCTGCAGATGTGCGCCTGTGGATTTCCTCTTCAAATCTGTTGGGTAAAGAGATATGTTTGAAATCTAGCTTCTCAACTACGAGGCAAAAGTAGTAAGCAGTAGTGCAAGGCATGTGTCTGCCAGGTTCTCACATACAATGCTAATCTCTGGCAACTTCATTTGGATGATGACTGCTAACTTTGCAGCCTCCAAAGTAACACTTTGTTGCAGTGGATCAGAGACATTATTCAACACATTACACTCTTCATTCAGTACACCAGTAGTTTGGACCTGGAGCGTTGCTGTGTTTTTCTGAACAGTATAATAGTTTTGTTGTTACATCATGAGTGTGTCCCCTTTATCATCTTTGAGACAAGATTATGTTTATCTTGGTGTTTATGGCTGAGATTTCCAAGAGAGTTTACATGGAGTTAAGCACCCAAATTGTACGAAAAGATACTACAGTGATGAGCATGTTAGACGGATAAGATAAGATAAGATGATATAAAATAAATATGTCATTGGTTAGATTAGATAGATAGATAGATCGATCAAGGGGGTGCATGGGG